ACCTTGAGGGGGGGGGGGGGGGCATGATCCATTGCCCCCCCCCCCCCCATCTTCTATAGAGATTTGATGTCAAGTGAGAAAGTTCTTTAAATATTTTACACGCAGAAGCTGCGCTCAACACATGTTTTGCTGCTACACACGAAATAACTTCCTAACAACAGAAAAGCTTACTATGTCAACAACAACTATTTGCCTTAGCGAATTAATACTTATCACGGAGACACAGAGGGGTAAACCCTTAATTGAGATTTTATACCAATTGTATTACAACTCATATTCTTTTTCATATCGACGTATAAGTAGCACTGATTAAGATCTGATAAATTGTCACAACGAGGAATGTTTAACGCAATAGAGTACAACTCTTTTGAAAGCCTTTAATGAGTCCTACTAATACTTCCGCTTTCACTTTCTCAGTCATTACACTGATAACAGGTTCTTAGCCGTAGAACAAATAATCAGCCTAATATCGCTTCGTGAAATTAATGTTGCGGGGGTAAGGTGGTAGTGGGATGGGCACATATGGCTCGAAAATGAACTTGTTGCGTTCCACTCTTTTACAGTACTCCGTTATGTACATTCCGCTATGTAGGCCTTCACTGTACCATGTTACGTTGCCATACCATTCCTCGGCTGTGTGCCCCGTATTATTGTATTATCATGTGTGCGTGTGTAAATAAACCCTTTATAACTTCAGATGGTTTGGGTGACAGTGACAGTTCGGGTAGGTCAATCTTAAGCTTTTTGAGCAAGGCATCCCTAGAGCAGACCCTCTCCCCCACCCACCCCACCCCCACGTCAACCTGACCCTAAGACCCGCCTCAGCAGACAAAACATAAACATGTGTATTTTTTCCATTGCTAAGATGAAGCAAAGCGTACTGTTGCGTACGTCATACAGGCTATATACAGTACCTGTAAAGTTACGTGAAACACAATAGTAATGGGACACCGGTGTTTGAGTGACAACACCGCTTAAAGTTAATATTCCCACGATCACAGCGATATACTTTGTATACTTAACTTACGGTCTTTAACGTCTACGCTATCGATTTATTTCCTATTTACGTCTTTCACGGAGTTGTTTACCATTAACTACGAAAATAACGACCAGTTTACAAACTATTTCTGCCCCTTACCATTTTGGATTAAGATCAAAATACTCCCAGACGGTAGTGGATGGTTCAACTTGGATCCAGTCTCCCTTAAATCTCTTCCTTAACAGTCAGGGGGTGTGTGGCCGTTCCCAGTGCAACTAGGTGCTGTATCACAGTCACGTGGTCTGCGTATCTCGGTCATCGTGCCATCATCAAGGCCACGGGTACATGTTAAACTAGGTAGGCCTATATTTACCAGATTTACGTGACCCGAATAGCGTGTCTACTTGATACGCAGCGTCTTGTGCAATGCGACAGTTAAGGAGAGGGGGGTAAGAGGGGGGTTTGGGAGGGGGGAGTTAAGGTTGCCACTTTTAACTTTGTAGATATTGTTTTTAACCCCCCCCCCCAGTCTTTACTGAGAAAAAACTTGTTTCAGTTTACACGATATAATACACTTTGATATTGATATATTCTATCAGGTGAGGCTAATTAATATATCCCTGTTATCATATTTGTGATGTATAATTCGTTCGAATTATATATGATCGATCTGGGTCACTTTGATCAACTTTGAAAATCAACCATGTTATTAGCATTTTATATATACTTTTCAACTATGTTCAGAACTTATTTTCTCTCCATCAATTTGCACTGCGTCATCAAAATAAAATAAAGTATAGCAATATAAAATTAGACTACATGGACCATGGATATTGTCAGATTTTCAAAAAATCTATTCAAGGTTTTGACACCGCTGATTTCCTTGTAAACTGTCACATTGAAACAACCACGCAATCTGAAAAAAAATTCACCAAATGCATGATGCTTAAAATGACTCAAATATCGCCCACTTCTTCCTCAACACATTTAAATCACACGACTCTGAATTGCTGCTCACAATCCTAAATCACATGAGTATGACGTCGTTATCACTGCCTGCAAACAGATAGCGCTCAGATCGTTCATTGATAGGGGTAGTACAGACGGGGGCTGTTCATTTACACCGAAATTAGGACCAACTTGCGTCATTAACAAACACCTGATTACACAGAAATCTTACTGTATATTAAAATGAAGTCCGTTTTGATTAAACTGGGGGAGGAAGCCTCGCTCAGACCGTCGTCATCGTAACTGACTTCCTTAAATATTCATTTCAAGTGAAATAAGCATTATGTCCAAGAATAAGCGAACCATATTTTTTCTTTTTATCTTTTTGGTTATTACCTCCGCCAAGGAGGTTATGTTTTCACCCCTGTTTGTTTGTCTGTCTGTCTTTCTGTTTGTCTGTCTGTCATCAATATAACTCAGAAAGTTATGGACCGATTTTGATGAAATTTTCAGGAACTGTCAGTAGTGGGCCAAGGAAAAGATGATTAGTTTTTGGTGGTGATCTGGATCATTAATCAATCAATGATCAAAAATAACCCAAAATTGCTGCCTTGGCGGAGGTCTGCGCTTTCGGCGTGTTTTTCTAGTTTCTTTCTGACTTTTTCTCATCAGTCGTGAAGTTATGTATTATTTAGCTATGTGTCATTGTTTTTTTAATTAATACTTTTTTATCATTTTCATTATTATTATTTTCTCATTATTATTTTTTTCTGTTACTCTCAATATACCACTGGTATCACTAATAGCGTTTATATACAGTTTAATCATTTCATTAGTTGGTTTACTATTCTATATTTTTTCATACTATTTTCTGTAATAAAAAAATTGAGACGAAGAAAACAAAAATAAATAAACCAACCTTTTCACTTCGACGGCGGTTTAATTAAATCGGTCAAGAATCGTCTAAAGTCGCATCTTAGACCCGGTTTTCGGTCCAGAACGGATCTCGTATAAACAGACCTCGATATGAAGTAACAATGTATGCTGTCCACTTATATTAAATGCATACGCCCCCCACTCTGCTGCAAACACTACAGCTGCAAACAGGTGCTCTGTGTTGTGGAATTCTAACTGAACAATTACATAGAACAATGGTGAGTGCTGCATTTATATTCAGTTTAAATAATTTAAGTTTATCATAATCATTGTTTATTGCATCACTCTTGTACATTTTTTTCGTTGTTTTAAATCAAAATAGGAAAAACGGCATGCGGCACGCGTTTGTATTAGTACATGTATTAGTCTGTGGTGGAAGGTAAAGAAGAACATGTTGAAAATAGTGCATGAAACTGTTGCAAAAAAGGCGTAAACTGTGTTCAAAATTTCCCGTACAATTTCCCAAACAAAGCCAACGCAGTGAAGTAGCTTTCCATCAAGAACCTATTTTAAAATTTCTAGAAAAAACGTTCGTTTTAATTTTATTATTATTTTTTTTAACATCACTTCATTTTATCATTGGGTTAATTCATCTTATTCTAAAAAATTGATTAACCTTATCTCCCCCCTCCCCCAGGGCGCAGACCACAGTCATCATGCGAGCCACCATCACGGTGCATATTATATAGTAAAACACAAACCAACGGGAATGGTGCTAGACATCCGGGACTGTGCCCGCCATAACGGGGCCACTATCTGCCTGTGGCCGCAGAACGGGGGAGACAACCAGCTCTGGACATACCATGACGGCGTGATTAAAAGTAAAATGCACGGTGAGTTTATTTATTTATTTTTTATTTATTTATTTATTTATTATATTCATTCATAAATTTATTTGTTTCATTAAGATTTGTTCGATGTCATTTTAGTCGGCTTTATCTATACATTCATTCCTTTACTTAATGAGTGCTAGTATTTCTTGAGCATCTTTTAATTTATTAATCTTGTATTGATCTTGTGTTTATTATTCTATTGATTACTTATGCATATAATTAGATCCCCAATTTGATGGTCACAGCAAGACACCCCCTAGCCTTTATTCCAGACCTATGACAGGCTAATTTATTTTGATAAATAGATATCAAGGACAATCAGGGGGAGGGGGGCACCTGTCCAGTCCGAAGGTAGATTTGATGAATGTCAGTTGACCTGAATTATTTGATAAATCTGCATTATTCCTGCCCTGATCCTTGAACTCTAGAGGATTGGTATATGTAATCTTCACTGGCCACTTGTGTTTATATTGAAGTTCAAACAAGGCTAGTGGTTCAAAGGTATACTGATAGGCTGTCTGTTTGTACATTACAGATGTTTAACAGCACTTTACAATGGTTACTCTAATAAAATTGTAAAAATAGTGTTAGATACTTAAGCACTGACTGCAATTTGACATTTACCAGTAGATCCCAATGAGAGGCCCTATCCATATTAAGTTGACAACAATATGCAATCAAAACCGTTAATTAGTTGTTGCCTGCATGCACTTACGTTGTATTGGGATACTTACACTGTGTATAGTTTTATAAGATTTTGGTCATTATTCCGTGTGGCAGAAAAAAAGGAAAGAAAAGTAGAAGAAAAGAAAAAGAAAAATATCATATCTCAATCATGGACAAGTTACTCTGTGTTCTAGGTAAGGTGCTTGACGTCAAAGATGGTCACGCTTATCCCGGATGTGACGTCATCTTATGGGACTTCAATGGCGGAGCAAATCAGCGTTGGATACCAAACGCGGACGGTACCATCGTCACGCAACTTGGCAACTATGCCCTTGACGTCATGAATAACGCCACCCACCAAGGGGCAGAGGTGAAACTGTGGGACAGACACGGAGGGGCGAACCAGCAGTTTAAGCTGGAGAGAGCTTAGAAATGAACTGTTCGGATTTTTCTTTAATCGTCATTATTATTATTATTATTATTATTATTATTATTATTATTATTACTGAAAGTCTGACGTGACTAATGAGGTACATGTATTAGTGTATGTGAAATTAAGAATGCTGAGATAGAACAGCCCATCTAGAATTTTGCTTGAAACGGGTGTTTTTCGCACCATGTTGTTGAATGTAAGGCCAGTACTCTGCTTTGATTTACAGAACTTGCAGTTATACACATGCGTCAAAAAGGCAACGAGACCTCCCTTTAATTTTTTTTTTTTCAGTTATATTGTCAAATCTTCATTGCAGTTGACAATTAATGGTTATCTTTTCGAACAAAAGTTATGTTCAGGGTCGTTATGAAATGGACTAGTACTTTTTACTCAATAAATGACACGTATTCTGTGTTTGTACATTTCTGTGTTAACATTAATAGAATGATTCAACAAGTTATTAAAGGGTTTCATAAGTGATCCACATAATCAAGTGATTGTCTTTTCATGGTTTAGGATGTAAGATAATGAAAGAACTGGTAGATCAATGAACTGCTGAATGAACAAAAACAATATTTTACATTAGAAATCATAATGAAACGCGTGAATCCACCCTGAGTAAAATTAATCTGGACATTTTACATGTTTGATACTGATGGGTCGTGACTCTGACACACACTCTCTCTCTCTCTCTCTCTCTCTCTCTCTCTCTCTCTCTCTCTCTCTCTCTCTGTTCAACTCAAACACACACACACACACACACACGCGCACACGCACACACCAAAAATTCGAAAGTAACTTCTTTAGTAGGACCTGGATTTAAAATGATAATAAAAAACGAGTTAGACTGAAACACTCATTTAATATCACTCCATATGAAGCCTTTCCAAACAAACAGAATTCAACAAAATTAAACCAAAAACCAAATCAAATTGTACACTGCGAGCCCAAAATCGCGGCCCAGTCCCAGACGCACAGCGGCATCCACGAAGTAAGAGCTGAATGCTGTGTCGTACTTTCCCATTACAGAAAGGACTTCTTCAATCACGTCGGCAACTCGGCTGATGCTGGACTTTTTACCGTAGTATTCGGCTAATTTTCTGAGCACGGTCTGCGCTGGTTTGGACCTCAGCCCCCGTAGAGCAGCCCTCAGGGTTGCAGCGGCGAATGCGCTGGAGAAAAAAAAATATAATGAGGTATAATGGCAGTTAAGATGTTCTGTGTGTTATATTTATATTTTGTGTTAGTATAAGACTGAAAGATATCTTTAATCAAAATAAATTAATATAGTTAAATGCTTGAGATAATTACACATTAAACATACAAACACAACTTAAAGTTGTTATGATTAATAATTTCTCTTTATTTCTTCTAAAGGATTAACTTGAATAAAGACAGTGGCTCTAAAAATACATTTTCTTACGCTTCGAGTGTCATGTACTATTTTGCTGCAAAAAAGATTGGCCTCAAAATGTGTTAGGTGTGACGTGTGTGATGCGCAATCAATAACACGAGGTCACACAAAAGAGAAGAACGGGATTGAAATGCAGATGCTTCAGGACTCAGTACAGAGGCAAGATGAAGACTTACCGTTTTGAGATGTGGACTTCCTCAGAGTTTTCTACGGCGTTTTCTGAATCTAAAGTAAAGATATGAATATTGAAGCTACAGGAACGATAAAAACAGAAGAAAAGTTTATTATTATTATTGCTGTAGTTGTTGTTGTATTTTCCAAGAGATCAAAATGTTTCAATTAATTCCGACCTTGATTTTAAAAGGGAGGGGTAGTGGCTCTAGGAATTCCATTCTAACGAACGTCCATCGCTTTCGCGATAATACCATTAGATAATGACAATTATTCTAATAAACCTCAGATTACATTTATGTACAACATATGAGCTAAATACGATCTCTGTACTGTATCTGTGGTTACATACCTGTCAGCTTGACAGCCTCACTTAAGACATACCCCGACGTGATGGCCAGAACAAAGAACAATCTGAAATGTTAACAAATTTGTCAACGGTGGCTGTCCCATTGCAATAGTATATGCAATTAAACGTGTCATCATCGTTATTTTTACGCCGGTGTCAGCACATTGGAAGGCGGCAGGATTGGAAAAGACTCTTGGTTTACTCATACACTTGGTGTTTTTCATTAAAGTTCATTTTTTTTGTATTCAACAGGTATTGATTCATAGAAAAATGAATCCTCGTCGAACTTCGATGTACATGTAGATGATAATGTACACTAGACTTGTAGGTTTGTCTTTATAAGGAAAGAGGTTCAAGGAAAATTGGCAAAATTGAATTGGATAATACAAGTGTGAAAATACCTACCCCAGCACGGTCCTCTTCATGTTGATTCAGCAATATTCTTCGGCGCTCTTGCGAATGTTTGGTATAATTACTTGTTTCTTTGCTAACTAGTCGTATTTATACAGAAATAAGTACTTTCTGTAAGTCAGATAATATACGAAGCACCACTGAAACTACATTGTGAAGCGTAATTTTCACATAGAAAACGTCCTCGTATGATATAACCATGACCCACTCTGATTAATTAAATAAATTTTAATCATTATACAGCTATTACTTACCCACGATATACTGACGTGGACGTCAAAGAAAAGAGCGTGAATATTAAAACTTTATTGTGTTTTCCTTTCTACGGTCTTCCCCTTGACCAGACTTAAACTTATTTTGAGTCCATCTGTTTATCGCCAAAACACCTGCAATGTTCACAAGACATCTTCTTCTCAGTTATGTAATCGATGGATTGGCTGCTAGACAGTGGGTCGGTAACCATTATTTGTACCTGTGTGTTATTCTTATTGCACTTCTATTAAGATAATATTTTATATAAAAGAAACTGGAAAAGCTATTTTCGCATATTATATAGGACTAAATAATGCCTCATACAACCCTTTAGATTATAATTTTGGTGTCTGTCCCTCTTATCGAAACTTCTTGATTCATCGATGCCACCTGGAGGTCAATTTCAGGTGGCTGTACTCGTAAAAGACGACGTGTAAGCGCACATGTTGTTTATGTCCCTGGAATGAAGGTGCCACTAAATGTTGTACGTACATGTATTTGTTGCTACGTCTCTCTCTCTCTCTCTCGTCCTAGAAATCGTAGTGTCACTGATTTTTAGTATGTTTTATTTGATTGCAGCGTATCTCTCTCTCTCTCTCTCTCTCTCAACCCACAGTCAAAAAGTAAATTTATCTATTTTTTGTTTTGCACAGTGTATTCTTATATAGATCATATATATGGCACAACAAACAGATTCCCTTAAGTCCACTGCTACTTTTAAAACGAGCGTTTTCAGCCTGTCTTTACATCGCATTAAGCTTCTTAAAGAAAAGAAGGACCTTCAAATTGTTTAATGCTTAAAATTCATTTCAATATAATTATCAATCTGTTTCTTATTAGACAAAAATTGGTTTTGTCTGAGGTGAATATGTTCATTTGCTGACCTCAGAAAAGTGGTATTGACCGAGTCACATATCAGGACATAATTAGCTGCACTGATCGAGACCTTGGAGATTAGGACGACATGAATATTCACAGGCATGACATTCCGGGATTGCCTGTAAGTCGAGCGACATGTGCAGTATTTCTGGACAATATAAATGGTATAAATATCACGCATTGGCCATTGCAAGGAGTAAATGGTGCCAAGGTGTGTCGACATCACGAGCCATCCCGAGCTGCTCGGCTGCTTTCATGAAGTTCCCCACCGTCACCTTATCGCTCCGGCATGCAAGTATGACCCCCTGACCCCTGGTGGATTTAGCTCTTCTTACATATCCCCGGCAACAACAACAACAACGATATCCACAATAACAATGTCAATAATAACAACATGATCAACAACAACAACAACAACAACAACCGCTAGCAACAACAACATGATCAACATTAACAACATCATTATCATCAACAACAAAAACAACAACGCATCAGTAACAACAACATAAGCAATATCACCATCAACACCCTGAACAACACCATCAACAACAATAACAACTAGCTATAGAAACGCAATATAAAGAAGCCAACAAGACGTATTTCGTACATGTAGTAGTACAATTATCCTCGTCTACTGTTTCAAGGCAAACAATCATTTATCCTAGTCCCACACCCCCTTCCCTTTACGTCATGGCCCCCTCTGTGATCACACTATGTTCTAACATTTAGTCAATAATTTGGAATTTTATGTACAATTAATTAATCTAATTCAACATTATATTAGGCAAACCTTTTTAATATCTTGGTTTTCCTGACTTCAAAAGATCAAGTGGAATTTGCTAAATGACAGTTTATTAAACAAAATGAGGTGAGTGAGATTTTTTAGTTATGTGAGAAAATTACAAAACACGAAAAAACTCTGATAGTTATCAAACAGAAACCCAGTGGCGGCCTCGTTAATTTTGGATATTGGAATTAACGTTATGATGTAGGAACTTATTGGAAAAGAAGAGAATAATGTGTTATACTGATATCGATTTCAATAAAAAAGATAAATAAATTGCTAAATAAATAACTTTTGAAACTGAAAGTTGGTAGTAACTATTAAACCATATTTTTTGTATACGGCGGTTCAGGAAATAAATGGAAAAAAATTCATATATTCAAGTAAATTTTTGGTCTAAATATCAGTCATTTCTCTATTTATAATACAGGCATTCCATTTCAGTGGACTCCATGTAGTACTGATTTAACTTTGTTCAAAATGGACTAAAAATTAAGACCAACTTTCCTCGACACATACTGTATGTTTGTGGACATCATCATGCACATTTTCATCATTTTGCATGCTAGAAGTTTTATTCTAATATTCAAGTCGTCTTGTACATGTTACTAGTACATCACTTTGACTGCAAGTAAGCGAGCTGAATGGTTCAATTGAAGAGATAGGTGCCTATATATACCGCAGGCCTACAGAACTGCAGCCAACTATATCTATATCAGCCAATAGACAAGGTTGTATACCGCCAGGCCAAAGTCACGGCTAAAACCGAGACGAACAGCCGCGTCAATGAAATGACTGGAGAACGCCCTATCGTATCTTCCAATTATTTTGGCCACCTCTTCTATTACCTCAACGATCTCGTATACGCTGCTTCTCCTTCCGTAGTATTCGGCCAGTTTGCGCAACACGGCCCGCGCCGGCCTTGACCTTAGGGCTCTGAGAGCACCACGGAGCACCGCGCCGGTGAAGGGACTATAAATAACAGGATAGCATTCAGCAACGGTCCCAGTATTTTAGTACCCTCTACAAGGTCCACTGATTGCTTTATTCACTATTTATTCACAGATTATGTCTCTGGCTTAATGTGGTCGATCTTCTAACGAGTACAATGCCTTCTCCTCGAGTGCAAATTCAATTGATTCCTTCTGGCCAAAAGTTACAGGCTGGCTGGTGGAAAAGTGCATATAATATCTGCCGCCCTGGTAGAGGGTACTATTTGAGGATCATACTACGATGGATATCGTTCGAGATAGCTTAAGACTCCGTTCACACGAAAAATGTATTTTCTAAAAATCTATTTTTTATTCGCGGTATCTTGTGATCACTCCGAGCGCAGCCGAGAATTAATTACAGCATTGGAAGTAACTGGCTCGCGCTGCCAGTAATTACGCCGCGGGGTAATCAGGGCACAGACCGTGATCACAAGATACCGCGAATAGAAAATAGATTTTTAGAAAAAAGATTTTTCATGTGAATGAAGCCTTAAACTGGCGAGAATGTCTGTGAGGCGGGAATGTCGTCCCAGGGAGCAATACAAAGATTACGCAAAACATGGTGAGTGCGTACTGTTGTGCACAAGACAATAACTCGACAAAACAATTAGGTGAAAATAATTATAAGAATATATATGGATAAATTTTATATGCCATTATTTTTCATATTTACCTTTCTCACAATCCCGCGATAATCTCGCTTGATGTTATGCAAAGGCATGAGACATTGTGCTATCTAGAACTATTCCCATTAACAGTGGGAAAATGTTAAGACGGAAATTTTGTAGAAAAAATAATGGAAATAATATGGCCAAAATATAGTAATATACATTCTCGGAAACCGTTGAGAAAATTACCATGGTTAAATACGTTGTCGAACTGTTAACTTCTAAACTCGCCAGTTATTTGCCCTTGTTAAGACGGTGGCTAATATTAAAGAAGATGCAATCTGCTAGAGATGTGTATTTATCTCAGCCTCTAAACCATGACCGAGTTGAGTGCAAGATAGAATGGTCTTACCGTTTGGACACGTGCACTTCTTCCACTTTCTCCGTTTTCTCAACCTCAGTCGAAAAATCTGCGTCTAAATAAAAAATGGTTAAATAAATGGTTAAATAAACAAAATAATAAATAAATAAATGAACAATAGGTAAGTAAATAAAACATTGAAGTTTGATTACATTTGTGTGAGCACACCATAAGCCACGACTGAAGTTTTCTGATAACACAATACCTTCGTAATCTTTGGATAATACATTATCAAAACAGATATCAGTATCATTGTACAATAGTATTGACAGTTTAATTTTTTTTTTTTTGCCATGCACATATTTTATGTGTTTTGCTTTAACAGTCCTTCTCAATGTAGAAATCGCATTTTACTAATAATTTATGACAGCTCGAGCGCAACTTATCGTCAATGCATTATACATTAATTTGACCCTATACCTTCTAACTCTGCAGTCACGTCCCAGACAAGACCAAATACAATGGTCAGAGCCAAAAAGATCCTATAAAAGGACAAAAGTGAAATTATTACACAGTTATTTAGCCTATGGCTGTGTCCATAACTGACTTGATCCGCAGACTAATTGAGCCGCGGATCAAATATGGCGCACCTTACTTAATAGCTTGATGCGTGATCCCCTAATAGGTTACCCGCCTCCCGCGCGCAACATTCCTGCAGTGGCAGATCAATGTTAATCTCGCGTGCTCATTGGTCTTGGATCAGTTGATTCAGTTGAAAGAACACTCCCGTGAAGTAAACATTGTGTCGTCAGATTCTGATTCTGTAAACATGCCTCCTCAGCGACCATACAACTTAACTGGAGTCGCCAAGAAACAATCTAATCTAATAAGAAGCTCAACTAACGTATGCAGCATGATTTCAAGTGGGCGCCATATTTGGTCTGTTTTTGACTATAGGTGATACAACACGAAAACTAAAATTTCATATACCCTTTTAAAGGTTTTCTTGAGCACCCTTCTTTTCTGAAACTCCTCTCTCCCTAGTCCACTTACCTGTTACTTCGGGTCTGTCTATATTGTATCAACGGATATCTGTACATGTGTTTGTTTAGTTTGCCTTTGTCAATGTGATTTAACTGCTGATTGATTTTCGTCAGAGAAAGAATACTTAAAGTTCAATACATGTAAGGCACGTGAATTTCACGTCGGCCGGTGAATGTATTGTATTGTAAGTCTTCTGTGTACACGACTACATAATTGTCTTGCTCCTTTCAAAACAATCAGTTACAAATAATAAATAATATAATAAAGAATGGAGTCTCTAAGATATAATATCCCTTTTAAACATATTTAATAAATAATAATAGCAATAATAATAATAATAATAAAACTTACCCGATGAAACTCTGCTTCATTTTACTCTCTCGGTCTGTTGTCGCAATCGTAAGCGTAGCTGGTTCGTAGATTTGAAAGCAGCGCAGGAGTGCAGCAACTTGCCTCTATTTATGCACCTTCGATAGGTAAGTATAATCCATCCCATGCTAATTACAGTAGTAGTAGTAACCAATAGAAAACCTATCATCAAAATGATGTGATTAACTAGAAAACGAGGGATTAAATCTCTTCATTAATAACCTTAGGTCACATTCCCAAAGACACCTTCAGTCTACTTCGATCAACTCAACTCTGCGGAGACTCTCGCTGAGTGCAATCAGCTTAAATGAATGACACCCCTCCTCCTGGCGATGAGTAGAATACAGAAAAGCTGGTGAGTATACGAGTACGTTGGAATCAGGCGTATTATTCAGTTAAGCTGATTGCACTTAGCGACAGTCATGGCAGAGTTGGGTCGCCCGAAGGTGTTTATGGGGATGAGGTCTTTTACACAGGATTGTCATAAGTGATTCAGATTTGGTTTCGTACAAAAACAAACGGTCCTCTCATTATCTACATTCAAGGTCATAGAAATCAACATAATTAAGGTAATTTTGCGTCAAATATCAAACAAATGCTTGATTTGGTTTTTGATTGGATTCCCTTGAAAATGATAATCACATAATTCTCAGGAAAAACCACATGCAATCTCTCTAAAATATCGAGACTTGTAATGAGTGACACGGATGCATAGAGGTAGCAGTGCTTAGCTTACCCACGGTAGTGCAATTCTGTAAATTCAAGTTTATGTCAAAACAAAAATCACAATTAAGAATACAGTCACAAAGATAATAATTTATCATGGCATGAACATTTTAATATAATATTTTAAAATAAAAATTGGCACACCGATATTACCCAGCACATAGAAAGAATATGACAGTGCGTACTACTTCCCTTGATTAAGTGCTGCTGGATTAGAATAAAGGAAAATCATTTGATCTTTACTACAAATAAAGTTGACTATGCGTGTTACAAAAGTGAAAACTATAAGGACATTTAATTATGGGAGATAATTCAGCGAGGTAATTTATAATTATACGATGCTGTCTTAATAGGTATACAGTATGGGAAAGACATTGTGATGCTTTTTTGGTCGGTGTTTTACATGTAATACAGTTTTTAATCCCACCAAGACTGTATTTCAATCACCATTAGGTTAATAATAATAAAAACAAAATCCAGAAATATTAACACGTTTGTCTTGACATTAGTTACACTAGATCATGTATCTGAAGATCCATTAAGTAAATGAACGAATAAATAAATAAACAAATAAATAAAAACTCGAGACAACATGCATGGACACATTTGTAATGAACAGCTTGCAAGTACTACTTCTACTACATGTAGTTCACGTCTAGAGATAAACAAGTCTGATACACATTACAAGAGAATCACAGCAAATATGTGTTCAACAAAGTCAATAAGATAAAATTATTCAATAATGTCTACAGTGTACATCACTGACGTGACTCAGATATTCATCTTTTTGTGAAAAGGTCATTGTGGTTGTTTTTTGTTCAACATATTTCCATTGATCATTTGAGAGGCTCTATTTTCACAGAGTTAGTGCCAAACAGAGATTTCTCAAACTGCATAAGCTGTCGGAAGAAACCCATGTTTGGGTTCGTGCACGGTCGTCTGCTCTTCACGTGCTGATGCGCGTCGAATAAAGACATGTGGAGACACTTCATTAAGTAGGCAATACATAGGGTTGAAGAGCGACTGATCCCGCGCTCACAGTGAACTAACGTGGCGCCACCTTTCATTCGTTCTTTCTTGATCTCGTCTGCGCACATATCAAAGCAACTCTTGAGGTCCGTTCCTGGTACGTCGTCTACGTGAATCTGAACGTAGTTTTCCACAAAAGGAAACTTTTGATTGGGATAATCTGCTGTGCAATTAATTATACTTGTGACGCCTAACTCCTTGAGAACATCGTGTTCCATTTCGTGTACTCCGGAAAGATAAAGGTGGGGCGTGATCTCGGCGATAGTCCCGCGTTTGCGAGATCTCGCTGCCTTCGGTTTTTCTTCTTTCTCTTCGGCTTTTATCGGTATATGATTAATCCGCACGGTACTGTTAATGTCGTCTGTGCTGCGTACCCTGTGTGACTTCTTCTTCTTTGAAGTGATTGTAAAGTCATCAAAAAAGTCTTCAAAGAAATCTGAAATGTAAATGAAAAACGACAAATCTGGCATAAGTGTGTCTCAAGGTATTTCAAGATAAATGTACATGTATAAGCTTTAAGCAATAGCATACATTTTGGCCAGATACAAAGAAGCGAATGTTTTATAAAGCAACGTAGAGTAAATGAATAAACGAACGATCAGAGAGAAAAGAAAAACAATAATAAAACAGAGCGAAAATAAATTGAAACTGCGCAAGATAATTCAAGACATCCCAAAGCATACTTTTTCGTTACCGCTATGAGACTCGAAAAGGATTATTATATGGGACGCGTAGGGTGTTAGAGGGATGTACGACGAGGGCAGGATGTACGACGAGGGCACGTTTTACCTATACCTCGTCACAAGAGAGGCGGATGAAAGTAGAGAAAAAAGTAGTATTTTGCGCTTTGGGGGTCAGCCAATACGTTAAGTGTTATGTATACAATGACACGCTTATATCCAGGTTTAATGTACAGTAATGTGAAACACCTGAAGATGCCATTTATCATACGAACACATTCCTAGTCTACGAGATACAATACATCAAATTCAAGGTGGCAAGGAATCTTTCTTTTTCTTCTATCTCTGCTGCATCTAATGCACTAAAGCAAATTGTGGCTACTTCTCTGAATGAAAAAGAAAAAGTGGGCAAGCATTTACCCCCTACACTGTGCAATAAGGGACTAAATGAAAGTTGGGTAGTATACACTGTACGAACACAGGTACAGGTGAAGGGTATCATTATTTCCTCTCTAAATTTGGAATAAGGGTGGAAATATCAGCAATATATCACCAGGTATATTACCGGTCACATATACATATACATATACATATACATATACAGGTACTGCTCTTCATTTCGGAATCCCGTCGACAATTCCTACTTTCTTTGAAAAAGCAACCTCAATCCACCTATAATTTTAAATATTTTTTTCAAATCAATTAAGAAATTCCACAACACCATATGTTGTAATGCAGTGTAATACAGGTGAAGTCTTCAATCGCTCAACGATAAAGGGTTTAAACTCAAGATGTGTGGAACAGATGCTCAGATATATTGCTCATCGCAAGTTACTGGGTGTAAATGTTTTAAAGGGCAACAAACAGACGCGAGATTTAGCAAATGCCATCAAAACCAGTTCGTTTCAGCCGTCAAAGTGTATGCGATTCGGTGCGCGTGATACGCCAAACTGTTTTATACTGCCACGGTCAGCTGACAAAAATATAATAAAAACAAAATTTTAAAAAAATATTAGAATAAATAAATAAAATATGAAATGAAGAATAAATACAAAAGATGCACAATTCGGACACGATAAAACCGGGAAATCTGTTCTAGTTACGCAAAGATTCAGGCAATGCTTTTACAGCTTAAGCAACAGAAATCCCGGTACACCAGATTTGTTCGAGATGATTAAAAATACATCAACCAAGCCATATAACATATGTCACACACTCACATATGTATCTAGGATGTCACGACATACAATTATGTATTTTATTAAGAGCATTAAGATAAACATGACTTCATGAATAACGTCTTTACAATTGTGCTTATCTAACTTTGCATAGTGGTTGAAGTTTGATATAACCACGTATATGATCTCTGAACCACTAGCGTACGCCCCCCCCCCCTTTAGAGCCTCCGAATAACTCGGGCTACTTGTACCTGTGCCAGAAATAAATTCACAAATGAGCTGGAGGAGGAGAGGGGGGGGGGAGGTGGAGGTCTCTATCCAATCTACATGTACGTATCCTTAATGCGTTAATATGTACGAATCATTTTATTTCAGTTTTAGTAATAGAACAGAGATACTCAGATATCGTGTGTGTGTGTGTGTGTGTGTGTGTGTGTGTGTGTGTTTTAAAGACGAGGCCCCTCTACAGAACAAGGCTTCAGTGTGTTACTTTCAAAGTCGATGGTTTGTCATTGTAAACTGCAGGGAAAAATGCTCCATAATTGGACTTTATTTGAGAAACTAAACGTAAAAACACAAATAAATACCACATTACAGACACCTACCGTCAAATATATCGTCTATATCCCACGATAGAGCCGCCATCTTGACAAGATTCCCTTTGCATTCATCTACTAGTATTAATCCGAAACCATTAAAATCCCACCGCAATGTCTTTCAAGTCTTTCAAAACATTGCCTTACAAGCAGACAGATTTCTAAGGCGAGGCTATGAAAGCAAACTCTCCAAGGCGGCGATATGGAATGAATCTTAATCTACCAAATCCACACTCCAGAAGAGCAGAACATCTGGATCTCTTGATCACTTGATCCAGTGCCAAGGGAAAACGACCGCGGAACACCTGGTACTCGAACAGATTTAGAGCGCCAAGGAACTATAATGCGTCAGTGTTTGTAAATTCACCATTAAACCTTCTTCCTCGTGAGTTATGATAGTTTCTTTACAAGAATATCACAGAGAGGTGCCTATCGTATTTTTTCAGAAGGCGCTGCGAATTTTCTAGAGAGGCACTGCGAAGATGGAATTCTAGCTTGAGGTATACTTCGGCATTAAAACGGTAAGAAACCACTTACCAGTGGGTGGATGCCATGGCAACGGGTATTTAGATCCTGTCGGAAGACCCAATACAGTGAGGTGAAAAAGTCAGTGACTAATAAGCCCTCTTCGCTGATACGATTTACCCAATGATATCATCGACATCACTTATTCGTGGTAAATATCTATTTCGGCAATAAGTTACAGATCCTACATAATTCGTGACCCCAAGTCCTCCCCCGAAAAGAGGTGACCATAATTGATTAACTGATAACTAGGACATGTGTGTAGACGCATGCCTGGCTTTTTTTGCATAAAGATAAACGATTTTATCTAAAAGCTGTATGAATAAACCTTTGGTATCCCCTGTAAGGTGAATTGTTTTCACCTCTGGATGTTCGTCAGACTGGTTCGGTAATGCTTGATATTTCAGAAGGGAGCAAGGTTAAATAAATTAGTAATGGAAGCTAATATGTGAGAGTAAGGTATGAGACGATCGTTTTATGCAAGGGGCATCGTCGTTTATGCTTTCAAAATAAATAAATGGATAAAGAATAAAAAAAAAAAAGAAAAAGGAAGGATTTATTATAACTTATGAGCCAGTATAAATGTGTGTTGGTGAAAATGTACGTAAGCTAATTGTACTTGATTACAGGTATCCACGATTGTGTTGGAGACGGCAACTTTAGTATTGTATTGTGTTAGAGAAGACGATCAGCAGATATACAATTTTGCATGATATGAACCTGATAGAGTGGGTGACCAACGCATGAAGGATAACAAAATAGATGTTAGTTTTAAAGATTTAAAGGCAGGGCTGATCCAGTCTTCAATACTAAGAACCGCCGATTGTTTTTATAAAATATTCACAGTTAAGTCATTGGCTGAATCATTACATCTTTTTCTGCCGTCCAGCGAGAATTTTCGTAAGAAAAAATAAGTGTCGTCACTCAGCTGTATAGAGTAGTGCACGGGCAGTGAGAAGCATGTATGGCTTTTCACATTAAACCGCATCGTACTAAGGTCAGAAATACTTTGACTTGTGATAATTACATTTCTAAGCATTAAAATGTATGAGACTGTGTTACCCCAAATAGATAAATACAAATAAAGAAAGATATGTATCATAAAGATAAAAATCATATGGTAGAATAGGCCTACTGCATTAAAAAGATATCTCGGTTATATACCAGTAACGCATAAGTAAATATGTAAATTGCTTATCTAGCATCAATCTAGCATCAAAACCTGATAGTGGTATACCTACATGTACGACAAACCATCATCATCAACTCTTTCCTCATCTCTGGACTATAATTTAAGTTGTTCGGATTCTTCTAGATAGCATCTCTCAGGGCTCAATCCCAGTGAAACTGTCGTGCTACATATATCGATCTCCTCGGGGACTCTAGCTGAATGCAGTCAGTTTAACAAATTAACACGTCTCCCCCAAAACGTGCCCGTATAATCACAAGTTTTCTGTTTTCTTCTCAACGTTGGGAGGAGGCGTGTTAATCCGTTATCTGATTGCATCAGCGAGAGTCCCGCGGAGTTGGATCAATTTATGTAGAACGATAGTTGCATTGGGAATGAGTCCTTAAATGAGGAAGAGTGCAGTCTTACTTTAATAATGATGATTATGCTAGTAATTATATGGGGACACCACTGACGTTTAAGCATATTGGCGTTTCGGTAGGGTTCAGACGTCTAACAAGTTTTACATTGCTGGGGACTAATGTGACATTGGTGTTGTTAGCAGTAGTTGCGAAGTAAACCAACGATATGGGTGAGTATTAATAGTACACGTGTATGTTGTTCAATATTTCAATTTATGTTATAAAACTTCAATTTATGTGTTGGAATTGCACGAAGAAAACGTAGCGAAAAACCTCAATATACAGATGACATAAGTGTCTTTATCTTGCCTTGTATAACTGCACTTACACACAGGAATTGGATGAGTGAGGTGCTTTAAAAAAATCTCTCAGATTTGAAAATAATCCGTAAAAAGGTTGGACTATTACATGTACGATCAGAATCTATGGTTTATGAATTTATGCAAGCATTAGCTTTTAAAACATTTCTACTTGAAGAAATGGCCAAACTTATTTCAGCGTCTTGAAATTATTCAAAGTACACGCGCATGATTGAAATTTGGTCTTGAAAACACATTTGATTAATTGATAAAGTTAATCTACTGATTTATGTAAATATTGTTTGAAACAAACGCG